AGACAACATGCCATACGCTGCGCACCACCAGTCCCCTGACCAAACGGCGGACCCGCGCGGAAAGCGAAGTGAGGCTGGAGCCTTGTGACAGCACGATACGTCCGGTGCGAGGCGGATTGCTGGATAGTGTTGGGCAGCCAAAATCAGGTATGACTTGCGGCGATGGTTTGCCGCTTCGAGACGGCTGGACTGGTGCGCGTTGCACGAAATAATACTAACTGTACATATGTAAATACTTCGAAATAATAAACGATTACATTTGCCACGTGGAAAGACCGTTCCCAGGCTGCTGCGCTCGAGATAGTGCAATTTCAGGTAGCTGAGACACGAAGTAAANAGAGGGTGTACAGAGTGAACGTGAAGCCTTCAGTTGGCGTAGGAAGAACCGGCTTACAAAGGGAGTTTCGCTATGAGACGGCTGCTTTCGGACGCGTACTTGTGACCGTTAGTGTCGCAAACGGTAAGCGGAAGGTTACTAGAGCTCAGGAGTGTGCGCGGGGAGGGTACGGAGCTAAAACACTCCGAAGACGGTCACTGAGATGTCGCGAGTCGGTCTTCAAAGCTAGCCACGGCCGTCGTACACTCGGTGGAGTCACGGTCAGATAACGCTAGGAGCTGAACTCCGCAAGTCGGGTAGCTAGACGGTCAAGCGTAGGGCGTACTTTGGGAGGGAAGCGCTTGGTGCACGGCCGAGCTTGAGTGCAATTTCAGGTAGCTGAGACACGAAGTAAACGAAAGGTGTAGAGTGACGTGTCGCCAGGCCAAGTGTGTGTACCGAGTGCGGGTACGAGTTCAGCTGGCTGTGTGAAGGTGGGGAAGTGTGTCGAGAGTAGAAATACGGTAGCTGAGATAGACGAGAAAGTGTTTGAGTAAGAGATAAAGCGTAAAGCGAGGTGTTTCGACAGTGACTCGTGCCGTGAAGAGGGTGTACAGAGTGAACGTGAAGCCTTCAGTTGGCGTAGGAAGAACCGGCTAACCTTATTTTCCCCCGTGAAGGGGGGTCTTCATTTTGGGTCGCCATATCTCAGCAACCAGCGATCACATCGCTCTAATTCCTGCACCGCTGTATTCGCATAGGTCTAAAACCCCCATACGACTCTTCACTTTACCCAAATACCGTAAGAATACCCTTCACAGCCGCACGCAAGTTGGCCAGCGTTCAGGCCGCGTCGTGCCCAGCGGCGCTCAACCGTGCCTCGAAACTCTTCACCGTACGGATTTTAGCACATAGCCTTACTTATACGGGTGTATAGGTGTTCTATAAAAAACATGGGAGCTTAGGGTTAGGTTAGGGTTAGGTTAGGTTAGGGTTAGGGTTAGGGTTAGGGTTA